TGAAAGTTATAGCAAAAGCGCTTGATAAAGCCTAGCATGTTATTTGCTCTGTGAATAATTGTGTTGTAATGGTCTATGAAAGCTAGTTTAGAGTCTAAGATAATTCCTAAATCCCTAACTCTTTCACATTTTTCTACATTTTGATTTCCTAGTACAATTGAAATATTTGAAGTTGTTGTTTTCCTGCTAAATGATATTAAGTTACATTTTTTTACATTCAATTCTAGACTTTTTTTGTACCATATGTAGAATATGTGTATTTCATTCCGGAATATATTGATGTCTTCTTCATTTCTTATTTCCAAAAAGAGCTTCATGTCGTCGGCATAAATAAGCAATTTAAGATTTTTGAGAATGAAAGAAATTTCTTTTACGTATAGAATAAAAAGAAGAGGTCCCAAATGAGAGCCTTGAGGGACGCCTGAAGTCACTTGAATTGGACTCGATTTCTTTCCGTTGAATTTAATTATTTGTTGGTGGTTAGTTAAGTATGATTCAAGCCATTTTAGGAGCCCTGACTCAATTCCAATTTTTTGCAATTTAAAAAGTAGCATTGGTATGTCTATGCGGTTAAATGCCTTGCTAAAGTCTGTATAGAGAGCTTCTACGTGGTTTCCATTATCCATTGCATTCAATAAATAGTCTATAAATTCAAGTAAATTTGTCGAGGTCGAGCGACCCTTGAAAAAGCCGTGTTGCATGTCAGTAATTCTATTTTTGATTTGGAGAAATAATTTTTCGTTGACAATTGCCTCGAAAAGTTTAGGAATGCAAGAGATAATGGCTATACCACGATAATTACGTACTTCAGAATTGGCAGTTAATTTGGTATAAATGTGGGTTAACCATTTCTCTAATAAGTTCTCATGTTGCGTACGGTAAAATATCATGCATAAATATGGCTGATTTATAGTAGTGTCGGCAAAACTTGAAAAAAATGTCTAAGCACGATTTAAAAAACGATGACGTAACTCTGTTTACAGCAAATTCGATTTTTATTCCGTATTCATGTTCTATATTCTCTTACAGTTTAACGTAGGAAATCTAAGTCCTTGGAGTAATGAACTGACGCCAAATCCGTCCAAAACCGTACTGAGGTGTCGTGTTTGCGGAACATGGGTAACAGACGCTTGTTTAAACACTCACACACGTAAACATCGGTCGACATAGTCTCCGTTGTCACAAACGGTTTGGAAAGCATACCACACTCACAAATGGCTTGCCAAACCATAGCTTTTCTACCGAATTTGTCGGTAAAAATCGACTTATCCGAGTCTTCAACACTTCGGCCATCACAAACGGTGTAGTACTGATCGCCAGAAAGAGTTTTGTAATCAAATTTAACGTATGATTCATCGTCCATAATCACGCACAGCAATTGGTCGTATAGCTTCCGAGCCCTCGGTTTGATGGATGCGGCTTGTTTTTCACTCCGCTTCTTCTGATTCTTATACGTATTTAGACCCATTCTTGTCTTGGCCCGCTTGACGTTACTTTTTGAGGATCCCACTTTTTTTAGCCACGTCTCCAAACCGAAATACTTTTCTTGCGAGTGAAAGCTTGCACGATTTTCCGGTCCAGATTTCGGTCAACAGGGTTCGGTTTACGTCCAGATTTTTGCTTGTCCTGGAAAGCTGCTTCATCACCATACTTCCGAATCGTTTGTCGAAATGTAAACAATGATTCAACGTGATAATCAGCTTTTTAAACGTACTCTGGAACAATCAGGGATGTTTCAAAGTCATGCTTAGAAATTCTGGGACACCCTATACTCGGATGTTAATGATGTTAATTAATTTTGGTATCTATGACAGATACGTATTTCGACTTCAATGTGCAGTCTTCATCAGTGTCAATCCCACTAACGACTTATCAAAATCTGACCCCCTTAAGTACTAATCCCCTAGGTAAAAATTATAAGATCACAGGTTTACACTAATGAAGACTGCACATTGTAGTCAAAATACGTATCTGTCATGGATACCAAAATTAATTAAGTGGAATTAAATGGACGATAACCTTTTCTGCTGTTTCATTTAAGCATTCCACTAACAACCCAACAAACATTGAAAGTTGAATAAGAGCTTATTCAGGCAAAAATATGCTTCTTCAGCTAAAAAATAGCTTATTCGTCTATTAATCAACTCAAATTGTTTGCTGGGAACCTAATTTCATTATCTCATATTCATATTTGTTTTTTAATAAATATTATGATGATTCAAAAATCAGATATGGAATGAAGCAAGGTGAGTACCATAAATTTATAAGGATAACAATGCCTAAAATTCGTTCCATACACAACGAAATTTCTCAGTTTTTTTTTCTTGACTTGTTTTCGTCGATCTTGTTTTCCGTGCTGAGCACCAATGCTACCGACGCCAGGGAGGCAGCTGCTACACCTGGACCCTACCTATCGACCCATCAACTCTGTTAATCGCTAGCCAGATGGGTTAGTTTAAAGGGATTCCCCTAACATCTGGTCTAGCTCGAGCTTGAAACCCTAGAGCTTCATAATAATCAGAAGTACAAAACACCTTATCGTTATTTTCAACTCTTTTATTACTGGCTCTCGCAATCTCCTGATTTTTATCGCTTGAAGTGAATCAATAGGGTACAGTAACCAAAACGGTAACAACTCATGAACCGGGGACCAACGGCTTCACTTCCTTTCCTTTCAGAACATCCCAACGGCTCCGACTGGGATTGAACCCAGGCCTGTTAGGGTGAGAGGCAATCACACTTACCACTACACTACCGGCGCCGCTCAAGAAATGGATATAAAGTATGTGTTTGACTCATAAAACCTGTCACTTTCACTATCAGAGCATCACAATAAGCGATTTTATGATTCATGAGCGGTCACTTAGAGTGAGCGCTAACAAATCGTAAAATCGCAGATTATGACGCCCTGAAAGCAATATTGACAAGTTTTATGTGTGAAACTCGTACTTTACAACCTCTTCTTGAAACTTATTACTAATTATCATTATAACATCTAATGATTTGATAATTCCAAAAAGAATTTATAGTACGTGAGTGAAAGCAACCCTCATGACATTCTTGCCCCGCTTTTCCCCATATTACTTTGTGGAGAGGGGATGTAATAATATACGAACAACAAACTAATTGGAGTGCTGCTAGAGCTACTAACAGACCAAAAATAAAGGCCTTTTCAATTACCTACGTCGCACAAACAGTTCGACGGTCGAATAAACAACGTTATCCTAACACGCAATGGTACTTATTTCTGGAGCCAAAGCTGCTTTTATTTTGAAGTTAAATATTTCTCTTTTGAACGTTCTGTTGCTGACATCAAAACATTTCTGGGATTCCTGTAGCTTTAAAGCCTTAATTGAAATGTAATATCGGATAATTTATTCAGAAAATACTGCCGGACATCAGTATGGAGGCATGGTAGAAGGCATGGCTCGTCCAAATTCAGGAATCATTGAAATTATAAATCATTTGCGTTAGTAGGCCTCCAGGCAGTGCTTTATCATAGCCATGACTAAAATCTGGTCCACTTAGAACCCAGACACATAAAACTAGGTGTTTCTCGGTATTGATTTGACGTAAGAAAATTGTAATTAAGTCAAAATGAAGGTATTTTATTGTATATTCACAAACAAAAAATTGCAAAATCAGTCCGACGGCGTTCGGATGAACTCACGGACTTTCTTTGGAACTGGTCACCCTCAGCGGCCATTTTTATTCGCAACATCGAGCCATCTGTGCAGCGTCCTGAGTCGTCTTTCCAGTTTTCTTTAACATCCGTGTTATAATACAATACAATACTTTTCGATTGGGTGGAATTGCGGGCAGTTGAATAGATTGATATCCTTGTCGATGAAATCCACCTTATTATCTTTGTGAAACTTAATGAAAGGTAGTTTAAATTTCTCTAGGCACTCTTGTTTATACAGCTTCAAGGTTTTGAGTCCACAGCTGCAAACACCTTGTCAGATCATCAGTTTCCGGACGAATTTATCGGCGAAAACAAACTTAAATTTTCTAGGCACATCATCCCGTGATGTGTCCAGATAAAAGTTTTGTCCGGGAACCTGCCTGAAATCGGCAATTTTCGTTGGGTTTTCGACGTGGGTGTGCAGAATAAATCTTCTTTTCTTGCCTTCCATCTAGTACAACTTTTTTAATACTGCGCGTATCGTGTCGAAACTTTGACCACTGAAACATGTGTATTTTCAAAACAAATAGCTGCTAGCCCAAGTAACATTGCAAGATTTGTAGAGGTTTTATTAGAATGCTATATAGTCTCCTGATGGTCTACAGAACCCTCATAAAACCAAAATTGTTACTTGAGAGAGGCACTGCTATAGAATAAATAAAGTGTCTGGATTCTAAGTGGACCAGACTTTAACTATTTCATCATTTGCGTAGGTAAAAATGTGTATTTTCCCCGCATTGAATGAGGGATTGCAATTCTCAGCGAGCTGCTTGCGAAACGTTTTACAATGCTCCAATCTTCAAAGATGCGTTTGACTATTTTTGGCAAGCCCCATAACGTGGGTAGATCACCTTTTCGTGGTACGCTACGGGATGTAAGATCTACCATCGATTCTTAGTCCTGACTACTTGAAACTAGGAAAACAGGATTTTGACGTAGGACTACGTCTTTGATTTCTATATGGGGGTACACTTTGTGTAAAACCGAAAATGGAACATGTAACAAATTAAGAAAGATTTTGAACGTTATTAACTCAGCTGCCCCTGGTCCAATTTCAATAATTTTATCACCAATCGATCAGAAATATGGCTACGCATCGATAACAATGCTTCCGAATGTTGATTTTTAACAAGAAACTATTGAAAAACTGGTAAAGGTCCAGCATTGTCCAAAAGCGTCGAATTAACTAACAAATGCACCAATTACCTACATGCATATACTGCTTCCCCAGCACAGTCGTCAGAGAGTAGTAAGTAGACGAAACAAGTCGAAGTGGCATTCGCCTACGATCCTCGGGCGCGTGCGAATAGGGAGGATGGAATTGCGTAATATGTTGCACACTCATCGCCATATTCAGAACCAAACGCAAATTCTTCGAAATAACCACCATCCATCGTCTGGCTCGCTGTGGCGGTATCTGACGTATCTCCGGTCTGATTTACGAGGTGTGTTGAAGGTGTTTCTGAAAAATCAGATCCGTGATCCTGTCACCTACACTAAACACGCCAAGTGTAAGCGGCCATGGATGTCATCTACGTTTTGAAGTGACAGAAACGCACTCTGTTTGGTTTCGGCGGTTAAATCATCACCAACTTTGGCAACAAAACGGCCCTTTCAGGGCCACCAAGATTATTACAGTAAAGAGTAGGAATAGAATTCATCTGCCTGTTTGTCCATATTCAGAACCAACGACCACACAAAATTCTCATGTAATCAAACTGGAAGAATGGGTACAAATTATTTTGATCAACCTTGATCAACTTTGAATCGCCACGGCCGTATATTTTCGATGGAAGAAGCAACAATCTAGCATCTAATTCGACGAAGACGGCAGGAAACATTTGTGTAGCCGAGTTATTTACGAAAGAGAGTGTCGATGAAGAGAATCGATCAATGTAGATAGGACCTATTAAACTACCAATCGACCCATCAACTCAACCGCGGACCAACGGCTTTACTTCCCGAAGGAAGGCGTGATCAGAGATGTTATGCCTTAGAACATGCCGGTGGCGCCGACTGAGATTGGACCCAGGCCTGCTGGGGTGAGAGGTAATCACGCTAACCACCGGCGCCGATATCTTTCAAGGTGATATCACGGCGAATGAGATCGACCCAAATTTGAGTTTGGGTCTCAATTTTGGGTCGTTCTCATTCGCCGTGTACGCAAAAGGAAAAGATCCAGTGTCGCTACTTGATTGCAAACTACTCATAATGGGAGGAGTCTTTGTAGCTTTTATACCACTTGGTTGCACATCATTCTGCTTTAACCTGAAAAGATATAAAAGAGCGCTGCTGTATGGCATTACCTCATTTTCGCTTTGGACGGCGTGGTGAACAGCAATAGCAGCAGTAGGAAGGTGGTGGCTAGTCCACTCCTTCACACCTAACAAGCAACAATTGTTGTGGTAAAGGAGGCGCCAAGCGTCATCGCAAAGTTCTTCGAGATAACCGCCATCGGTCGTCTGGCTCGCCGTGGTGGTGTCAAACGTATCTCCGGTCTGATCTACGAGGTGTGCTGAAGGTATTCCTGGAAAATGAGGTCCGTGATGCTGTCACCTACACTAAACACGCCAAGCGTAAGTGGCAGCGTGAGTGGATGTCCACCTCAATAAAACGGCCCTTTTCAGGGCCATCAAGCTTACATCAGTAAAGAGTTAGATTAGAATTTATCTGTGCTTGTTTGTCCATATTCAGAACCACAAGTCCCCAACGACCACACAAAATGCTCTCCAGAGTTGTAATCTTGTAACCAAACTTGGAAGCGGGGCTGCAAGTGATTTTGATTGATTCTCTTAATCAACTTTCTCTTTGAAAAAAATTACTTCAATTCAAAAACGGAAAGAGTTGAGATAATTGATAATTTATCAATTAAAAGAACTAAATGCTCTTCACATTTATTCCGTCCACTAGCGGTCCTACGTCAAGCTTCCGTTCGTGCCCCTAGGCACTGACCCTTCTACTTTTTTTAAGTAATTAAAGGAACACATGTTAGTCATTATTACTTTTTATGCCTTGTTGATAGTGGCACTCGGCTTTGTCCACCGAGGATGATCTTTAAACAAGGGAAAAACTAGAAGGGTCTGTGTCTAGGGACATGAACGGAAGCTTGACGTAGGACCATGCTTGGGTGTTACATTTGTTACATGCGCTTAGTTCTTTAAATTGTTCAAAAATGAAACAGGATAATCAATTGAAATATTGAATTAATGTACAATCATAATCAACAGAAATAAACGCAATTTTACTGCTATGTACTACGTTAATAAAAAAAAAAGTTAATAAAAGTTAATTTTTGAAAATACAATGTTAATTTATGCATTAGTTTTTAATATATACACTGTATACAGCACGGAAAATATTGATCTAAAGCGAATCATCAAAAAGTTTAACAAATCGAGCACCGCTCATCTAATAAAAATACCGGGAAAAACGGTGGAATTTCTGTTTATTATTGTTATTATTTATACTATACAGCAATCGGTAGCTTATGCTGAAACTAAACTTAGATTAAAAGTAACCGATTCAGACATGAAGAGATAAACGAAGCTAGAACATATCAGTTGATTCTTGTGATGAATGATATCCACCAAGGGTACCGTGATCAACGATTTAAAATTTCCCGTCGCTCCTGTCATATATGAAGACATGCGGTTGCGGGATATCTGGTGAATTCACCAAGCTACTCATCATGATTGATAAAAGTAGCAGTTTGGTCAGACATCTACAATGAGAAGAATGTGAAATAGGATTAGATATTGGTAAGACCAACCACAAAAAATATCGACAGTGAAGAGGTACTACAACAAAATCATACTAGACAAGACAAGAACACATTTGATGACTGTAGAGATGGATGCTTCCACTGAAGGCAACTCAACCGATTTTTCCTCCGATTAGAACCTGGTTAACCGTCTTTTCGGTATAGATACTTTTGAAGTGGCCGGAGAACCGATGGGGTCCTGCGATCACAGGTTTAATATGGATACTTTCCACTGAGGTCCACTTGATCAATGCCTTTGAATTGGTCGTCCACATTATTTTCAATGAATATTTATGCTCGCAGGATATCCGACGAACTCTGCAGGCTGCACAGTGTGGTTTTAAAATGTGATACTTTGATCCGAAATCTGTAAAGAGCAGAAGAATTAAATGTGATTAAATTATGAAGTGGATAAACCTCCACATTAACACACTATTACAAAAAATACTAGACAAGACTAGAACGTACCTGTTGATGGATGCTGTCGACCGAAGGCAACTAGACCAATGCTTTCGAAGTGACCATCCCAGTCGATGTTTTTAAAGTGGACGTGCTACCGATGGAAACCTGCTATTGCACGATTTAGATTGTTGCTGTCTACTGAGAGTTCTTTGATAAATGCTTTCGAAGGGGCCGTTTGTTCGATATTTACGATGGGAACCTGCGATCACAGGATTGATTTTTGAGACGTATGGTGATCAGTGAAGTTGATCTTCAGTCTAGATCCATCAAGCGTACCACCGTAATCTCATGCCAGATTTGTCAGGACCCATCATAACTGATGCTCAATCAGACGCAAACCCTTTCAGACGGTGCCTATAGTCGAAATCATCTTACACGAATTGCTTTACGATTGCTTGATAGATAGTCTTGTGGTCAGCAAGGTGTAATTCTAAGTGTCTAAGTGACGAGTTTCTGCCACCTTGACGTCGTGGCTTCGCCTTACCGTGAACGGTCTTGGAAAAAGCTGTGTTGGATGCAGGGGTTGAAACAGTTGACGTTTTTTAATACACTCGGTTCGTTGTCGTGCGCGACAGTCTGTTTGTATTCGAACACTCATGCTCTACCGTCGTCTCTCTCACACAACATGAGCGGTAGAATAACATTCGAGCTAAAAGAAAATTATCAAAATAGCTATCATATGACATGTGTGATTTCGTTGTAATTCCTCAATTTGGTGTAAATCAAACCATTTCTGATCAGAAATAGTATTACTAGGACATCATTGCTTGCTATTTTCAGAATTCACACAAGCACACCATCAGCAGCTCTTATTATGAGAAAAACTAAAATACATACATTCGTGACGGTCTTCGGCGACAGTGTCGTATGACAGAGCCTGTCATACGACATTTTAGTTTGGTACTGTACTATGATAGCTTGTTTTGCAAGTGTCGGAGGCAAAGGCAGTCAATTATCATAGAAAATGTGTCGACTACCGTGACCGCTTACAAGACTGGTTGGATGACCTTCCGTGCCTGCTCCGCCAAGCGACATCTATCGCGTCGGCCACGCTAACGAGCACCTACGCTGCCGGGGATCTGACACACTTCTGGCCTCAGGCGACCAGTCAACCTCCATCACCGCCGCCATTGTCTTGGCTATTACTAGTGCCCAGCCCTGTCCAGTGGCGTCTCCACCGGCCAGCCACCATAATAGCACGCCTTTATCGGAGCCACCGTCTTTGTGTGGGTTGCTACCGAGCTACGGACGAGAAATACCACTGGTCACTGCGTCACCGAGTACCCCGCGAAGTCCTACTAGCTTCGTCGGCACCAAGAGATCACCCTGGTCGTGGCCATTGGCTCGGCCCATGCAGTGGCTGCCATCACGTTCATCTCCACTTCCGAAGCCACTACCAGCAGGGACGGCGTCCTCTGGACCACCGTCAACCCCAAAGTCTCACCTGCACCGTTGCCATCGGTGCCCACCGCCCGCACTGTACCGACGTCCTCTGAACCAGCGCCACCTCTGAACTATCGCCATCACCGCCCATCGCCCGCAATGGACCGTCAAATCTAATAAACAGGTATTTAACCGTTAACATAGTGTTGGTTAGGTTCTTCCGTGTCCGAAAAGTCTCCCACGCCTATACGCCCTGAGACCCGGAACCTACAAAGGTCTTGAGTGCCATCCCTGGAAGCTGCCGTTGGTCAAGACCAGCAGCTTGGGGTTTATGGGGGTCCCTTCTGGAACTCAGCGGTTCCGGGGCATATAAAGTAGTCTTATACAGTGTTTTGACAGCTCCGCCCGATGACTCATCAATAATTAGATACAAATTTGAACTCTTCATCCTCCGCAAAGATCTTCATGATGCACGGCAAAAACTTCGTTGACTACAGCTGCAACTTTGGTCTTGTCCAGATTTATCTTCATGAACACTTTGGATTGCGATTTTAGGTCAATTCCTCCACTGCAGCGAATGAAATATTGTTTTCGATTGCCCATCCGCTGATTTTCATCTCGGGCTGGGCTACATTATTTTTCACGGTGAATTCGTCGATCCTACAGCTGTAATCTGCCACAATTCTAGCAGAAGCCTCATGATGCCGCTTGGACAAATTCGATTTGCCACCCCTTGCAATTCTCAGCTCTTTAATACGTATTTTGCTCCACCCATATAAAGGATCAATTTCATAAGGTTCAAATCAGGGAATCCTTCTGAAGCAGTCCATTCAGGTTTGAATTTCTGTACGCTGATCTTTTTTCCATCCTTTTCCGTTTGCACCCGATCATCTGTTGACGTTCCAGGATCAGTATACGCTGGCAAGATCGGTGTAGTGTCTTCTTGTTTATCACAAGAATTTTCAAAAGCAGGTTTTTCAATTTCAGAAAAAAAATTAAGTAAATTTCTACAATCGTGCATGCATATTGATGTTTAAAACAACAACAAAATTCTTAAAAGCTGTAAAATCATCATGAGTCAATATCGAAGGGATCACACGTGACATATATTACTGCAAATTTACTGAGGATCTTTGAACTACAGTAATCATTAGCTGGTTCGGACGTAGCCTCATCCCAGCTACCAAATGCCAGTCACTCGTTGGGATGGACTTTCAGCTGTGAAATTGTAGAATTTAATGAAAAACAGCTCTCTAGATGCTATCCAAGCATCAACAATGAATTGTCAAAGCTAGCTCGGCACAATTTTCTGATATTGAAGCTACTTCGTAGTATCCAATGAGTGAACTCCACTTAAAAAGCAACACGAATAGAAAACCCAAAACGAGCGAATAATTAATATATATAACCGACTTATTGACATTCACATATTATTCCGTTTCTGTAACAAATTTGAGTAAATCTGAATAACTCAGCGAAAAGTTCTACAGCAATTGATACGATCTAACAATGTATTTTAACCACAAGATATTCAAAAGAATTTCAGTCTGGATATGAACCACGGTACTTGAAGATAAGGTGGCTGAATAAATTTTTATCACTTGCTTCGAGCTTCGTAAAAACGATCAAATGTATTATTTAGTTTCCTGAGTATTGCAATGCAACAGACTAAATTTGATAACTAAATTTTATTTAACGGTAAAGTGCACTGGATAATATTCTATTGATTTTTTTTTTTATTTTATCACATCCGTTGATTTCTTGAGTTTGTTCGAACAGATAAGTGACAGCAGGAGAATAGATAAGGGTATCTATTGCATTATCAAACAACTGAAATTTGAAATATTAAAAAATATAATTGAGATTTTTTAAAAGAAAGCCAAGAGCAGAAGAGAAAAATATGTCTGAAACATGCCCTAATAAAAAAAATTGGTGGGATTGTGTACAAGACACGACCGCATGGTTGACGTAGACTACGTTAAGCAGTATAGTAAAATTCCCGTGCATTTTTTTCTCTAGATATTGATTTAAAATACAGTAGAAGTAACCTATGATTTCGGTCATATGTACATATTTTGGATTTCCTACTTAGTAAAACTTGGTTAAATTCAGGAATACCTATTACATTTGGTTCCTAAATTACAATCAGATTTGAGTAATCTGAGATATCTGTACTCTTGAAATTTGTATGTGGTAATTAAATTGATCCTCAGCGATTCAACTTAAAAACGCTAAAAACGGAGTGCACACATTTGCACCAATGTAATGCAACATTTCATAGTTGATCGAGATAATATCGAGAAGCCATGAATCCTTCCAATAAGTTCTCGGTATATCTTTTATCTACCGATTGAACAAATAAAAAGAAATTCTAAGGCTTTGTTCCATTTGGAAAATTTTCACTTAGATTTGACACTTCGAAAATAAACTAAGATGTTCGAAAATCCCTTTGTTGTAGATCGGCCGATTTTCATGAAAGCGTATGTCAAATTGATTCCTTGTCTGTCAGAAAAAAGTCTGCTGGAATACCAGGTTTATTTGAAAATTTTCCATCTGTAAAATTTAAGTAAAATTCACCAAATGGAACACAGCCTTAATAACTTGAGCACAGAATCGTTTCTTGTTGTGTTTGTTGTATTAGATGCTAGATAAAAACTTCTTTTATCGATACGTGTGCTGAAAATACCTGGGCCGAGTGGATTCAAGGAGAAAGTCGACGAAGAGAATCTTGTCAGTGTTCAGCTTGAATTGTTTCGCTTAGCTGTAGCAATGTAAACAGAAAATCGATGAAGAGAATCGTACATTACAAGTAGGCCCTTTTGAACGCTCACTGTCGAATTTCAGAACCTAGCACTGAAAAAAAAAACTCGACGGTACCTCTATTTATGGTAAGAGATAAGCATTGCAAGTCCCTCCTACTTGAAGAATTAAACGATAGAACGGCGTGCTATGCCTCGCCCCCATCAGCAATAAAAATTGGGGTTATATAAACCGTTCTATAGCATAATTTTCCAAGTAGGAGGGACTTTCATAACTAATCTAAGAGCATAAATAGAGGTACCGTCTGATAATTTAAGTGCTTGGTACAGAAAACTGTAATCTGTGTAGGAAAATCCTTTTTATCATCACAAAAACACCTCGTTCCCATTTTCTGATGCAAAATAATGAATGTACGTGTGCTGCCGAAGGATTAGGGAACTTTCATAAATAACGTAGTAGTTGAGGGAGGAGAGGGGTTTCAGAAGTTGGGACCGGCCATGTATTAGATGTATTGCAAAACACGCTCCGAGGGGAGGGGGAAGGGGGTTCAATTGGTCAAAAATATACGTAATTTATGGATGGTCCTAATTTTTCTTCCAAGGCTGTGTCGCAATGGGCGAGTTGAATTTAACTCGTGGTTAGAAGTGACAGATGAGTTATCGAATAACCCTGCTATACGAGCGTAGTTATTTCAGACCGACTAGAATTTAAATTTTGGTAGCCGTGGCTAGTTCTGTTTGAAAACTGATCAATTTCCGGCAATTTCGAACATAGAAAATAACTTTCGAAATGTCACGTTTAACCACGAGTTAAATTTAACTCGGCAATTGGTACACAGCCCAAGAAGTATTTCACGATTACTTTTTCGAAAGGACGTATCAGCTTTTGTAAACAACGCATTTGATCGTCGATTTAGCGTAACTGGTAGCTCACCCACGCACACTAACACTACCATCAGATAGAGGAAATTTTCCCCTACCTGATATAGTGGTGTTAGTATGTGGTGCGAGCTATCAGTTATGCCAAATCTGATATGTCCTGTCGAAAAAGTAATCGAGATTTGTAGTTATCATTCAGGCAAGGAGCGCTTGCGCCATCGAGGTAACGCCGCTACCAGCAGCCAGCAATCTCGACGGAAATGACGCGCAAAGTTCGAGGAGCAAAACTTGAACTGCTCCTGCTACCTGCTTACCCGCCGTCCGAAGCGATAATGAGTTGAGGCACATTAGCAGTGCTGTTTTATAACTTTTCAGATTCAAGCAGCACGATGTGCAACCAAATTGTACTCGATTATCACGACTGGGTTTGGGGAGAACGTTTATTTCATGAATAGAGTGATGACTACCACTTTTTATTTGTACATTTTTAAAACAGTCTTTATGAATAATTGAAAAATTCATTTACTGTAACAGCTTACGAGAGTTATTTTCTATCGATTGGTGTATTTGGATTTTAATTTCTTTTGTAAATGACAAAGTTATAAGCGTTCAAAATCTTACACCTTTTCGTGACGGTCGCAATTTTAGATTTTCGATTTACCCCTAGTACCTTCCCATAAGACGTAGTCTACGTCAAAACGAACGATAACCTAAAGGATAGAACTATTCCACAAATGGTTTGGTTGATACCATGAACACGTCGTTAAGCAATATAACCATACAAACATATCTGTTGTTAATTCGAATATCAATACGCATAGCTGTTGAAAAAAATGATAATATTCAAACGCATAATTCAGTGTATTTCGATGCCAACAGGTAACAACTTATAAAACCACACCTAAAACCAGTTTTTAATGAATTCCTAGAATAAACAGATATTATAAACAAAAGTTAGTAATTTGGTCAACAGAAAGCAATAATTACCGATTTTTCTATGATTTGTTTTATTATTGCATCACTGGGTTCTCCAAATACACTGAAACCACCGTTTACGAATTCTTTTTTTACGCAGTATTCAATTTACGTCCCTCTTTTTACGAAGTAAATCTCAAATAACGAGTTTTCTTTTCACGAAGTAAATTCCAAATAACGAGTTTTTTTTTTGTGATTTTGGGAAACTGGGAAATACTGTTAAATACCCCACAATATGGGTCTTGTTGGAATCAGAATGACGTGTAGGGACCGGAAATCGATGTCTGACGCCATTTTGGAATCCAAGATGGTGGCTTCCGGTTACATAAAAACTTGGAAATTCTGTCATATATCCCACAATATGGGTATTTTTGGAATCAGAATGACGTGTAGGGACCGGAAATCGATATCTGAAGCCATTTTGAAATCAAAGGTGGTGGCTTCCGGTTACATAAAAACTTGCAAATTATGTCATATACCCCACAATATGGGTATTTGTGGAATTGGAGTGACGTGA